GAGAGAGAGAGAGAGAGAGAGAGAGAGAGAGAAAGAGAAAATAGTGATAACAAAGATACCTCCTGACGAATATACAAAACGAGTAGAAAAATGTTTCGTCTCCGAAACTCCAAATCTCCAGAATTGAGCTACTGAATATAATATCAATCAATCAATAAATCAATTAATATATATATATATATATATATATATATATATGGAGGCTGAATATATATATATATATATATATATATATATATAAGATTGAGATTAGTACGTACTTGTGTCCATCGATCATTATTGTTGTTCTCGTTCTGAAAAAAGAAAAAAATAGTTATTTTAATTAATCGTATACTTGTAAAATATTCCAAATCCTCTAGAATAAAACATATTTTCTGAAATCTCTATTTTGAACGATATTTTTCGGAAATTATATTTAAAAAAAAGCAGTTAAAAGTAAATCCAAACAATTGCCGTTTACTTTTACCTAATAGCACATAACAATTAATTTTCCCGCCATCTCACTCATTCTGTTTTTACGTAAGTATCACTCGCCCATACAACAACACACCTACAAGATGAATATCCTAATCCTTTAGTCAAAGGTGTCAAATTCACACAGTGAAATGTGTTAACTTTACCTGACTCTGACTCGAACTAATTATATGATTAAGAAACACGGCCAATTTGCTCACGTGTCAGCGAAGCGATCGATAAGGCAACCATTTCGAAATATGGCCTCTCACCTAAGCTAACATCAAATAAACATTTCAAGCTGAATCGTTCTGATGAATCGATACCGTGAGAAATAGCTTAATAAACAATTGATTTATAGAAAAGCTTTATAAAGAACCTGAAAATACGGGGGATTAAGGTTGTAATCAATCGATTGATTGTTTCAGTTATAGACCGACATCGAAATCATCATCATCAGCATCATCAGCATCATCATCATGACCTTTCAGCCTTCTCTGAGGCTGAAGGCTCATGATCAACAATCCCTTTCCGTACTGCTCGGTCCTACATTTTCATACCCAGATCTCCAATGTCCAACCCCGACTCCCAAGCCATCGTGTTCGGGAAAGGCAACTTTTGGGAGAAGACACCTCCAGTTGGATGCCATAGAAGTAAGGATGAGATGACCTCTCCTTCCGCTCGGTGGCAGTGGCCGGCAAACTGTAATCCTTTTTTGTTTGAGCTTCAGAGAGATTGGTCTCATTTCTTCGTAAATTGTGTTAAGCATTGCATGGAATCTCCAACTGATGTTCTGGATTTTCCTAAGTAGATTTGTATGTTCCATCCAGTTGTCTTTCAAGAGTAGCAGATAATGCCTAAGTTTCTGATCCATACATTAGGACTGTTTCGATCAGTGTTCCATATTAAAAGAAAAAAAAAACTTGTAGTTCCAACGAATGATTTATTTTATGGAAATATTTCGACTAGCAGTTGCTAGTCTTAGTCATTCCTTAATTTGAGTAAAAGTGTGCAAGGAAACTCAAAAGGGGGAAAAGCCGGGTTGATGCCGTTTACAACGTAAGAGCAAGTTTAGGCGTAAAAAAAGGAATTTTGTTTTTACTCTACGAATTGCCATTTTTTTACCATATCTATTTTTCTTTGGAGCAGAGATGTTCAAACAAGATGGAGTTGTGCTGCATCTTTCCAATTGCAGACATTTTTTGTATTTGCTATTAGCATTTGTTCAGCTATTCTTCTTTGATTGAAATCCTTTTGGTTCGTCAATATTATTTACGGCTGGTCAAATTTAATTCTGTGACCTTCTGTAATGACATGTAATGCAATCGTTTTTTGTTTTTTTTACGCATCAACTTTCTCTTACGTTGTAAACGTCATCTACTCGGCTTTTTTTCCTTGATGTGAATTCTTAAGCGTTTCTACTTTCTTTGTACTCTTTTACTCAAATTAAGGAGTGAACAAGATTGGGCAACTGCTAGTCGAAATATTTCCATAAAATAAATCATTCATTGGAACTACAAGTTTTTTTTTCTTTTAATTATGCAACTATCAACGGAGACAAGCGTCCTAACTTTGGACATCAAGATAGACCTTTCAGTAGTTGATACAAAATGTGGGACGCCAGCCCTACATATCGAAATAGAAGTGAGGATCGAACTCACTATTCAGTCGTAATTATTCTAACAAGACAACCTTGCTAACTGTTACACCACATAGAAATGTTCACATCATTTACTAAGCATAGCTTAGATTTGACGCAAACCCGAGTGTCCAGTGAGGACCTAACTCACTACTCATTCGCAGTTGTTCTACAGAATGACTGAAAAGTAACGCCCTATTTTATCTATGATATATAATTTACCCGTAGGCCTCGACCGTGTTGATAGAAAGCGGCCGGGTGGCATTGCTATTTTCCCCTTTTAGAATAGGGAAGTCGTTGATTTGGGATGCGACCTGTGCGGATACATTTTCGGTCTGTAATTTGATCAGGTCCGCGGCTGAGCCAGAGCCCATCGCCCGGGACGCAGAGATAAAAAAAAAATAGTTAAATATTCTTCTCTTGCTGATAGATTTTTTTTTTACTTTTGTGACACTTCTGGGGTTACTGGCCCTCGTTTGATGGCGCTCCTTCGGAGGATTGGTAGGATGGCGTCTCGATTAAGGGACAAGCCTCGCGAAACGGAGTGGCTCTTGCAGCGTGTCTCACTGGTGATGATTCGTTGAAATGCTTTCTCCATCATTGCAGCTGGCAGAGGTTAGCAAAAAAAAAAAAAAAAGAAAAAGAATGGTTTATAGTTACGTTGTTCAATTTTTTTTTTAATCTCAAATAAAAGTTGTGATATTTATAAATAAAAACAAACTACCTCTTTAAGAAAAAAAATTATCTATTGAAAAAAAAATTATATGTTCACATGAGAAATTGCATAAAAACTTAATCAAAGCCCATTGTCTGTCATATTTAATGAAACTTGCATGAAAGAAGGATTGCTGCCTATATATATATATATATATATATATATATATATATATATAATTATTTATTAAAAAATTATAACATAAATATGTTATAACATCACTACAAAAATAGCCATTTGTTTCAACACCTCTGGTGTCTTATCAAATGATGATGTTGAATGTAGAATAAAGGGTTTTAAAAGATTCAAATCAATCAAACATCCCTCGCTAGGGGAAACGCTGTTACATAAGCTGGAATGACCACTCAAAATACAAGAATATGAGAATTCAAAAAACTTGACGACGGAGTTTAAGGTTATAATTATTTAATGCTTTAATGTTGGGGTTAGACTAAAATAGAATTTATTCTAACTGATAAATATTAAATTATACGATAAAATTTGAAATTACAAATTAAAAATTAACCATTTTAAAATTTAAATTTAATCTATATTAAGTTTAAAATTATAAAATTACTGAGTAAAAAAGAAAAATACATATGTTATTCTATGTATTTTGTTTTCATTGAAATTAAGTTGGAATAAACGTTAAGATCAACTGTTGCTCTGAACTTCATGACAACTTAGATACATTTGAATTCTAAATATAGTTAGGGGAGGATGACATCTTGCACAATCAGATTATAATACATAAATACGCAGACGTATTTATATATATATATACACACAAAAAAAAGCGACGAGACAGGAAATATCTCCACGATTCTTTAAAATAAAACACACACACAACATACATACACAAGGAAAGGTACACACAAGTGACCATACATACAGACACCGATAAATACACGTAGATACATACACATACATTGACAAAGACACGCCGATACACCTATCAAGACATATTCAATATATATATATATATATATATATATATATATATGAAAATTTCTCCGATTTAACCAGTAGAGAAGACAATATTTATGAATAAAAATGACAATAGGAAAATTAGTAATTGCTGACACGTTTTGTCCAATGTGGACTTTATCAAAGCGAAATACGAAATGAATATTGTTAAATTATATTCATTGTGTATTTTGCTTTGATAAAGTCAACACTGAACGAAACGCGTCAGCAATTACTAGTTTTCCTATTGTCATTTTTATTCATATATATATATATATATATATATATATATATATATATATATATATATATATATATATATATATATATATATATAAAGACTCCCTGTTTTGTAAAAAATTATAGTTAAACGGGAAAGTCCATCCCTACATAAAATAGGGAGTTACTTTTCAGTCAACCTGTAGACAGACAAGCTTGCTAACTATTTCACCAAATGCCGAAATGCCCACGTGATGTACTGAATGTATATTAGATGCGGCACAAGGCCGAAAGTATGGGGCACGCAGTGAGGATCAGATTCACTACCCAGTCAGAATTGTTTCTGCTCGACAAGCTTGCTAACTATTACCCAACATCGAAATGCACAGGTTGACTGAGGATTATGGGTGTGTTGACGTCAAGATAGATTGACACACATATTTATGTCCACCAATGTATCGATAGATAGATACAACTAAACTGAAATAGATATGGTTAATTTTTAGATTCTTAGCGTAAAGTAACCAAGACAATTATATTACTTGTTATTAATTAGCTAAAGATAAAATCTGTCTCTTCAAGTAATTATTTCTTAATTAATACGCGCAGAACTTGAAGGTAGAAATATCAACAAAATGAAATATTAATTTTTTGGTTGCTTTTCAAATAATGATTGGCATTTAGTAAACTATTTACCAATTATATTCAACATCTAAATTTGCATATTGCACCCCCTCCACACACAAGCAAATGCAAATCTATCTATCTATCTATATATATATATATATATATATATATATATATCACGGTCGATTTCCATCTATCTATCTATCTATCTATCTATCTATCTATCTATCTATCTATGGTCTATTTCCATCAATCTCTCTATCTATCTATCTATATATATATATATATATATATATATATATATATATATATATATATATATATATATCACGGTCTATTTCCATCTATCTATCTATCTATCTATCTATCTATCTATCTCAGTCTGTTCGTATCTATCTATCTAACTATCACGGCCTATTTCTATCTCTGTCTCTTCGTCTATCTATCTATCTATCTATCTCAGTCTGTTCGTATCTATCTATCTATCACGGTCTATTTCCATCTATGTATCTATCTATCTATCTATCTATCTATCTATCTCAGTCTCTTCATATCTATCTATCTATCTATCTATCTATCGATCTATCGATCTATCTCAGTCGGTTCGTATCTATCTATCTATCAAGGTCTATTTCCATCTATCTATCTATCTCAGTCTGTTCGTATCTATCTATCTAACTATCACGGTCTATTTCTATCTATCTATCTATCTATCACGGTCTATTTCCATCTATCTATCTATCTATCTATCTATCTCAGTCTCTTTATCTATATCTATCTATCTATCTATCTATCTATCTATCTCTGTCTCTTCGTCTATCTATCTATCTATCTATCTATCTATCTATCTCAGTCTGTTCGTATCTATCTAACTATCACGGTCTATTTCCATCTATCTATCTATCTATCTATCTATCTATCTATCTATCACGGTCTATTTCCATCTATCTATCTATCTCAGTCTCTTCATATCTATCTATCTATCTATCTATCTCTGTCTCTTCGTCTATCTATCTATCTATCTATCTATCTATCTATCTATCTATCTCATTCTGTTCATATCTATCTATATATCTATCTATCTATCTATCTATCTTATTCTGTTCATTATCTATCTATCTATCTATCTCAGTCTGTTCGTATCTATCTAACTATCACGGTCTATTTCTATCTATCTATCTATCTATCTATCTATCTATCTATCTATCTATTTCAGTCTATTTATCTATATATCTAGTTATTTTTGGGCTTACAGTCACATCACGTTGAAAAAATCATTCCTGTACGATCACCAAGTTAAGCAACGTCGTGCCTTGTCAGTAGGTAGATGAGTGAATACCAGCTGCTGTAGGCTTTGGTGTGCAATTGTTATAATGGATAATGGCTCGTAATTATAAATCGGAGAACCAGGATCCAATCCCAGTTGGGTTCGTTATATTCAGTTACGCACAAATACACTTGGGAAATACATGCATCCACCTCTTCTATCTCCCTAGCTATGGGTTAATTAGTAAAATTTATATCATTATACCATCATTTTCTCCCAAAAAGTAATTCTTACAATTTAAAAATATTTTCTGGCTTTAAATAACATGACAGATTACTTGACCTTGCTAACCAGATGCTTCCTTTGTAGCTAAATAGTATAGCACGTCTGGCTATATGACGGTTCCGTGTAGGATACAGGTTCGATTCCTGTCGGAAGACATATATTTTCTTTGAGATTTCTCAGACATTCAGAACTGTTTATTATAAACAGAGCATTTACTTAAATATTTGTATCTGTAAAAATAACGTATAAACAGAAAAATATCTTAAAATAATTGTCGAACTAAGTCCATTTCATAATATATGATGTCATTTGTTTACGTTGAGATAACCTTCGAGCAGATATGAGCGTTCGAGCGAAATCATGGTAAATTTGTAGTTTAAAAGCACTAATTCAGCCTCTTATATATATATATATATATATATATATATATATATATATATATATTATTTTAAAAAAAAATAAATATGTTATAAAATCACTACAAAAATAGCCATTTTGTTTCAACACCCTAGGTGTCTTATCAAGTGATGATGTTGAATGTAAAATAAATTGATTTTACAACATATTTATGTTATAAATTTTCTTTTTTTAAATAATTATATCTGTTCTACTTTGTATTGAGCACTCTTTTAAGAATAGTAATTGTTGGTTATTGGAATTCATTCCGTATACACCAATTATATACTTGTATACGGAATGAATTCCAATAACCAACAATTACTATTCTTAAAAGAGTGCTCAATACAAAGTAGAACAGATATAATTATTTTAAAAAAAGTTTATAACATAAATATGTTATAAAATCAATTTATTTTACATTAGGTAGTAAATACGTTATTATTTGAGTCTATTAAAATGGCAAAGAAAGGAATATTGTTATCTTTCTTAAGTTCGTATGTGAACTTGGGGACAGAGATTTTTAAAAAGTTTTTGGCAGTTCCTTTATTTCTTCTATGTTTTTAATTAAAATAATGGATATCATATACATATCAGAGGTAAGTGGAGGGTTTCTAGGTGTTACTAAATAAATATCTAGGTTGCTAGAAGTTGTAGAAGTTGCTGAAGTTTGGGCCCAGAAGTGAACCCATAGAAATGCCATCACGTTGCACATATACGTTATTTCTGTGATTATACGAACAAAGATAACAACATCCCTTTCCTTGACATTTTAATAGACACGAATAATAACACATTTACTACCTTCCCATATAAAAAAAACAAGCAGCAAAAAATCTTGCACTTTCAACTATAAGAGTTAATGTCCTGACTACTACAAAATAGCACTTACACAGTAATTAATTAAGCGTGTACAAATTAATTCCTCCACAAAATGTTTTTCTACAGGGAACTAAAAAATTATTAAGCAGACTCTCGTTAATAATGACTTCCCAAACCACATTGTAGCTGAAAAAAAACCCTCAACACATGTCAGATAGAACAAGGTACTTCCTCAAATGACCCTAAATATATCAAACCCTTATATTGTAACCAGATGCATGATAACTACAAACAGGATTAGAAAATCATAAAAAAAAACTCATTCATACCAATATATCTCCCATGGATCCCAATAAAAATATAAAATTAATCATATATTATACAAAATACAATACAACCAATTTAATTATTTGCAATATCTCCCTCCCCCAACCAACTGATGTATTACGTAAAACCAACATTATATACCAATTTAAATGTCCCTTGGGAGAATGTATATTCGACAGAAAAATAAATATGCTGGACATACAACTACATTAGAAGACGTCTTACTCTACACATGTTTGACCATTCAGAAAATAACAAAATAAAACTACAGATCCTCGAAGCAATCTACATTAAAATATTGAAGCCGACACTGGATAGAATCAGCTACAAATACTGTATAATAATGTTCTAAAATGCCTATAAAAAGAACAGTTTTCATGCTTTAATGCGCGCATGACCAAGAAATTCCAAGATAAAAGAAAAAAATCCCATAGTGGATAATTTTTTCACGTTTTAATGAACGCTAAAGCATAAGTATCAGCAGTTGCATTTAAAGGCAAAAAGCAATCAGTGATGGTTAGCTGCACATAGTTTTTGCCTTACAAGTTGCACCCTTGATGATGAAAGAGATGGAAAATACTTGGGAAATAAAAGTGAATTTCACTGTTACATTGCATGTCTTGCGTCAATTTATTGTAATAAACAGAAAAAATATATGTGAATATGAACTGATTATACTAAACTTAAGTAAGCTCGTAATTTATTTAATCAGGCACACACACACACACACACACACACACACACACATATATATATATATATATATATATATATAATCGACTCCCCCTTCGAATTCGACGCATGAGAGTCAAGCCGATCGGTTCCTAGGAAACGGACAGCCCAACATCAGCACATGAGATTTGATTATAGTGGTGAAGGTTTCGTGCAGGACCATCCACACTTTTTGAAGGGACGAATACAGAGACCTGGTTCGCTACGTGCCACAGGGCCCCCAAACGACCCTCCGCAGGTTTTGAATTCAGAGTTGTCCTTCTCCTAGACCAGTTGCCATCCAAGGCTATAGAACCCAGTCTGTCCTGCTATTTTACTCATAGCTGGAGGGAGAAGAAGATTCACACCTTTCCCAAGGGTATTAGCATGTAAGTGTATGTAATGGATTCGACTGGAATTCCTCAATCCAAGCCGCTATCCATTACGCCACCGTGCCTCCTCTCTCTCTCTCTCTCTCTCTCTATATATATATATATATATATATATATATATATATATAGATAGATAGATAGATATTGCGGACATAAGAATCAAACTGCATCGAGACTAAAGGTTTCTATATGGAAAGGTCACTGAGAAAGAACTTCCCGTAATAATATGTCCTTTTCTGAAAGTTATTTATATTTGTGATCTTTGATTTAATAAATAATTTTATTATTTATTTTAATAACTTTTAAATAAATAACATTTATTTATTTATTTAAATTTTATTATGTATCCATTTTTATGTTATTTATTTAATTTTTTTAGTATATTTTCTCCTGTTCTAAGTTTTGATATTATGAGATTCAGGTCAGAGAATTTTATTAAGAAAGATATATCTGATTTTCTAAAAATACGTTGAAACGTTTGTAAGTTTATAGAAGAGTTTCAATATGACGCCATCTTGTTTTTACTTTGATCTTTTTTTTACATATTTATTTCTTTATTTTATTATTTCACATATATACGCATAATATATATGTATGTATGTGCGTCTGCATGTGTGTTTGCGTATATATATATGTATGTATGTGCATATATACATACAGTGGCCTAAGAAATGTTATTAGCCAAGAGAAATAAACGATATCCAAATTCAAAATTTAATTACGTAATCCCAACTCAACATAAATAAACAATATTTCGAACTAGTATGGGGTAGGTCTTCCATTTTCTAGTTTCACTGCTTATATTCGATTTTTCATGGATCTGATAAAGTTATCAACAATCATCTGATCCAAATTTTGCCACTTCTTTAGCAATGTTTATTTAAGGGTTGCCACTGACGTGATTTTGGTTGCACGCTCTCGAAGTTTTCGGTGAAGGTGCTCCCAAATGGGCTCTATTGGATTCATGTCAGGATTTTGGGCTACCGACGGCAGTGACTTGATTCCTTGCGATTCCTTCTAAGCCTTTACTACTTTACTCCAATAGTATGGCCCTCCATCTTCTTGAAAATGGTAGACATTCTTGTCAATCTGAATGATTTTAAATAGTGGGAATCGTCTTTTCTCTAATATTTGATTGTATTTTCGACCATTAAACCACTCATCAACAAGAATCAGCTCAGATTTCCCTCCAAACCAGACAGCGCATCACACCATTACTCCAACCCCTCCATGTTTCACGGTCGCCTGCAGACATTCAGTGTTCCAAATCTCATTCTGATTTCTCCAAACCTGTCTCGGATTCGAATACTGGCAGAATTTACTTTCATCTGTCCAAATTACAGTCTGCCAAAAATTCATAATCTGTGTTCTCGAATTCTCTCGTCCACTCCATATGTCTGCTCCTGTTAACAATTCGATTTTACCATATACGCAATGAGGTTAAAAAGGGTATTTATCAATTTGCTAATGATGTAATTGGATAGGACTTATGTATTTTTGTTGCATTTAACAGTTTATAGATATAGCGTAGCATACAAACTTACAAATAAACAAAAGCAAATTGTAGAAGTTCCCATAAAGTTCTAGAAGACCCCAGAAAGTCATTACTATACCTATATACGATTTTAGAAATCTCGTTTTGGGTGTGACATTAAAAAAAATAAACTGAATTAAACCCTTCATTATTTATTAATAAAAGTTCATCGATTTATGATATAGGGAAATAATAATTTGTCAAAAAAGCAAAAATAACCCTAATCTCTCTCTCTCTCTCTCTCATTCTCCTTCCCTCTCTTTCTCTCTCTCCCTCTATTTCTCTCTCTCTCTCCCTCTCTTTCTCTCCCTCCCTTTCTCTTTTCTCTCTCTCTCTCTCTCTCTCTCTCTATATATATATATATATATATATTTCTTCACTGTGTCAATTGTTCATTTCTTTGTTATCGCCAAAAGTCGCGCCAACGTTTCCTTTCTGACGAAGTGTTGGCTAAAAGGATTCCTTAAATAAAAATTCCATTGTGTATTTTTAAAATTGTATTT